TGGCTAACGATACAGGCTTGACAAAACACCTGTCACCCCTTCTCCCTGCCTCTCTCCTTCCTCCAGGGATGTCCCGGAGACTGAGTAAATTTTGGCACTGAATATCTTCTTTCTAGAAGCTTTTCCTACTTTGCACAAATATCAGCAGGTATAGACAGTTATAAAGAATAATATATAAATTAATGACAGTCTTACCCAGACACAATCATTGTTACCATTTTGTTTTCTTTGTCCTGCATTTTTTCATGCTTGAAACGGTGCTCCAAATATACTTTTATGTTCTGCTCTTTTTTTCTGCACTGTATCCCCAGAGGGACCTATTCAGGGAAAAGATTGCTACAGAACTAATTCAGGTGGAGGTTCCCCCACAGTTGAGTGGAGTCCAGCCTCGGGGTGGGGACAGCAGGCATCGCTAAATCAGCACCGCACACCACCGCAGTTGGATTCGAAGCCTGAGACAGCAGGCTCTTGGGTTAAATCCGCCGCAAGTATGTGGAATTTTCAGCATATTCTCCCAATCTTTTACTTATTATATACATACTGTTCTTGGCAATTCTGTTTTTTTTTTAAAATTTTTTGGCATTATGCACTTTATATTTGCATTTCCTTTCTTAAAGCATTTTCTTAATGAAACAACTTGTTCCTCAGTATGAAAGTTTACAGATTGAAAACATTTCCGGTTTTCAGTATAGGGTGCCTGGAGTGTCCAGTTTTTTAGTTCCTTAGTTAACTTTTAAAAAATTTACAATTCATTGAGGGTGGTGTTGAAGGCCTGGGGGGTGAGCGTGGGAAGATAACAAACCCAAAAGGTCCAAGGAGAGGAAAGCTGAAGTAGACTTGGCTAAGAACACAGTGTCTGTTTTACGGTCATCCCTCCCATATCCTCCCTGAAACGCACAATCAAGGGGAAGAAGTAGAAACATCATTTCTTCTATGTGCTTTAAAAAGACTCGCAGTAAGCAGGATTCGCGTTCGTGCATGCCTGCGTGTTTGCAATGAAATCACGTTTTAAAGAGAGTTCAGCTGCGTCGTATTTATAACTATGTGGTTGCTACCAGATCCCAGCATGTCTCCTTGCAGTGGTTCCTGTCTCTTTTCTCTGTGTGCTAATTCTGTTGTAAAGTGTGCGGTTTGGACAAAGCAGTTAGTCCGTCCCTCTCCCTCCCACACACACTCCCAGCTGTGGCCTCCTGAGAATCCTGCCCTGGTCCCATCTCGGACCTTGTTCTGACTTACTTATCTCTGGTTTCAGGAAAAAGTTTGAATGCTGGGGATCTAGACCCTCCCTTGACAGATGCATCAATCTCTACTTGGGGTCCTATCATATTGACCGGGATAAGGTGACCATGGGAGTTTAACCAGATTCAAGGCTCATTCACAAACATCAACTCAACAACTTTGCAGGAGAACAAAAAGCAGGTTAGGTGGTGTGTTCTTTTTTGAGAGATTTTTGTTATAGGGTGTGTTCGCCTGCTGGAAAGACAGCCAGAAAGCAAGAAATTACCCCCTAGAGGGGATGGCCACACCTCAACCTCTTCTCCTCATTCTCCTCTCAAGATTTTGCGCATGCACATAGTCGTTCCCAGTGTGAGTTTCAACCTGCCAGGTCCCGGACTCAAACCAAGATCGTCCAGCACCTTAAACACTACGCCACCTGCTGTCCCCAGGTATTGCTTCTTAAGCATCCACATGCACTGGAAACATATAGGGACAGTGGCTACAATGCAGATTTTCAGGGCCCACCTGAAGTTCCGGTCTCATTTTTATTCGAGCCTGAGAATCTGTATCTTAAGCAAACACTGTAATGTGATTTTGATTCTGGATATCCAAACCCACCCTGGGAAGAACACTGGGATTCTGGATGCTGTATGCCCATACCCATCACCAACGGGGCAAAATAATACCACTGTCCCTCCTCCTTTACCCTTCGTTCCTCGGGCTGCATGTCTAGGAGCACCTTTAAAGTTCGTGTTATCTTCCCATTGCCTTCGTGGGGGGCACGCACTGACTTCTCCGCTGTAGCATCCCCTAGTGGACGGCTTAGGGCCACCCACTCAGGAAGATTCGGGGTAGACCAACTGTACTTCCCTACCTATAAAGGAGTCATTCCGGCTGCTACGAATGCCTGGGACGGCCAGCTAGGCTTCCGCATTGTATGATTCACTCTGCCACACGCTCTCCCACAAGTTCCCTGGAAGGCCCGTGCTCTCAACACACGCCTGAAAGTAGTCTCCTTAGGCATTTGCCTCCCATGTCACATGCACACCCAGGCTCTCTTCACTTGGCCCACCCCCCAGTTTTCACCGACATGAACTTGCTCTTAGGTCCATATTTTAGAAAAAAAAGTGCCACTGTTGTGTGTGCTTAGCTTCTATATACTTTTCTGTCTCTTTTGCACACTGAGCGTGCGTGCACGCAAAGATACATGCAGTAACTGGCGGAGCATGATACAAATACATCATCATCTCAACTCTTTGGTGTAGACAGCCCTTCTCTGGTGCAAAGGACATATACTTTGGAGTCACACGACCCGAGTTCAAATCCTAGCTTTGCCACGGATCTTGAAGTAAATTATCTAGGCCTAAATTTCCTCATTAGGATTAAACAAGACAGCTTGTTTAAAAATCTACAGCTGTGCCTAGAATCTCATAGGAAATCCACAGATGTTAAGGATCACTTTTATTATTATTTATTTTTTTTAAGTTTTTGCCATAAGGTGCATGTGCTAGCTGGAGAGAGACAGAGAGAGGGAAAGTGAGAAATCAGCCCCTAGGGGGATGGCCATGTGCAATCCCTTCTCCTCCATTCTCCTGGGATTTTGGACACACAGACACAAGTGCCTGGTGTGATTTTCAAGTTGCCGGGTCTGAGACTCAAACCATGATTAGCCCTGTGGGAATCCAGTGCCTTTACCACCATCCCACCTGCTGGCCCCAACCTCTTTGATTTTCAAAAACTTGTATATGAAGAGAACAGTCCTCACACTTCTCTCACATAACGTGTTAGTCAGCATGTTTGACTGCAAGCATCCGAAATCATTCTGGCCAGAATAAGCCAAGAGGGAGTTTATCTTAGGGTATAGGGTGACTCAACGAGTTGCCAGGAACACTGAAAAGCCCAGTGCAGTTGAGCAGGAACCCAGAGAGGCTACACAACCAGGCCTGCAGACACAGTCACACATCAGAGCAGTCTGTGGCCTTGACCTCTGGCGTGGCTGACCTCGGCACTGGATGCCATTGCTGTCCCGGTGACAAAACCCTTTCTCCACCGTTCCTGCTTTTTGCATCACTTGCTCCAGATTCCAAAAGCTCCAGGTGAGAGGTAAGCCAGTATGCCTGGGCGGCCCGCACTCGTTGGGGAGGTCAGGGAGGTGGCTCTGGACTTTCTGGTTCCTGCAGTTGGTATCCCCAAAAATAAGAGATCACTGGGAACCAGCAGTTAGCGTAATGGCTATGTCGCTGGACTCCCACGTAGTCCGCGGTTCGCGTCCTGGACCCGGTGGCTTAAAACTCACTCTGGGCGCTTGTGCGTGCGTGCCCAAGATCCCAAGAGGAGAATGGAGGAGAAGGGATTGTGGCGTGGCCATCCCCCCTGGAGGGTGATTTCTCGCTTTCTGTCTCTCTGTCTCTCTCTGTCTGGTGAGCGTACGCGCCCTATAGTGAAAAACCTCTCCAAATAAATAAATAAGAGATCACTATCCGGGTTGACTGGTCATCTCTCCCAGGCCCGGCAGCCACTCTGGTTACGGGCTGCACTCACTCTCCCGTGTGGATGCCACTTTCTGTTCAGAACAGAACTCTCACTCTCCCGCCCAGCACACTCTGCTTTCAGAGGCTTCGACCCACGTCTGTCCCCCTGCCTCTGTCCAGACGCGCCCTGCTCACCCGCACCAGCCCCCTTCACCACCCACACCACGCTGGCCCCTCGCTCGCCTGTTCTGGAAAGGTCAGGGCACGTACCCACCTATTGTGGCACCCCGTCCCCAAGGCTGAACCCTCCATCCTGGGTATTCCCAAGGCACTTTCTTGCATCTCCACGATCTCATTGATCCTATCTCAAGGTCTGTGGCTTTTGTTTTGTTTTGCTCTTTAATCTCTTGAGAGAGAGACAGAGAGAGATGGACACACACCTAGCACTGTCTTCACACTGTGATCCAGACTGGGGTCCCGGCAGCCCCGGAACACAGCCTGCACGCCTGGGGAGCCCGTGCTCACAGCCTCTGCACAGGGACTCGGTACCTCTCCCCTGTGGGCCACCACCTGGCCCTGCCCCATTTCCCTGTGAACACGTGCCTTTCCTGGAGTGGCCTTTCGTGGTGTGGCCCTTCTCCCTCTCCTGGGCCTAAGAGCAGGCTACCTAGGGCAGGAAGTCCCCTCCTTTGTGAAGCCTTGGTTCTCAGCTCCTAATAGATGCTTGAAATTACTGATATAAATATAAATATATAATCTGGTAAGCGGAGCACACATTTCTCAATTCTCTCTTCATACATCCATTTCCTACAGGCAAGAGCCAAATCCACCCCAAACCAGGAATAATCCAGACGAATGTACCCCTAAACCATGCAAGCCGTGAGCATTATTTATTTCAATCCGACCTATTTTTGTAAAGGCTGGATGCTCCCATCCACCTCCTGCCCTAACAGGAAAAACTTGTGGCGCGGGACGCTTCTTCAGTCCTGGGCACCCCCTGGCTCCTTGCACTGTCAGAAGGGCCCCTTCATTTTACAAGACGTCGGGGATGTACAGTGATTGAATGCACAGGACAAGTAAACAGCAAGCAAGAAGGGAACGGGTGCAGGGGCAGAGGGACAGCAAAGCCAAGCCCCTCGCTCAGAGGGTTGTCCAAGTCCCAGAAGTTGTGCCCAGCTGTGCCCCAGCCCTTGCTCTGCCCCGTCCCCCTTAGGGCGGG